TCATAAATTTTCTTTGATTATTGTTAATCGATATCTCGAGATCGCTCAATTGATTGCTCAGTATTTGTTGCATTTATCATTCAAAAAAAAAAGCGATGTGATCACAAAAGTAAGATCAATATTTTGAAGAATGCAAGTTGTTCATTTCAAGACAGTTGCTGTATAGTAATAGCAGCTGATCCTAGAAATATGCCATGACATGAGTAGAACTTCTTCATGAGTGATTACAGCAAAATCACCTCGTTCAATCATAATATTTGCCTTCACTCGTTACATTCATTTTTTCCTCTTTGTTCACTATTGACAAATGAAATACCAACTCACGGCAAAACGCTCGAAACTGTCAAATCATTTATTTGTCAAAATTCCAATTGATGGATCCGAAATTTTAACGATTGTGAGAGAATTTTATATTGTGATTGTTCTAAAAATTTAAACTTTAAAAAACTTCTCGGAAACCTTAAACTCAGTCAATTGTTCTGCTTTGACGGCGAAATATTTTCAGATGGAATAGCAAAAAAAAGCACAAAAATTCATTTTCTCCTCTCATTACTCTTCTCAGTTCTCTACGGCGGCTTTTTGCTTTGCGATTCGATTCACCGACTCGATGAAAATTTTGCTCGTTTGTAAAATCAAAGGAACTTTATGAAAGTTTCATGAAATTTCGCGCAGTCGTGCATACTCCTCATTCAAATAAAGCTATCAAGCCATTCACCGTTCAATTTTGGAGTTATTCTGCGACACAGTTGATTATTAATGATGACTTACTTTTTTCCTTCAAAATTGTGCGTACTTGATATGTTTTAAAATGACAATTGCGCTTCTACAATGGAACGCACAAAACACAAGGAAATTCCAAACGCTGAAGCAATTGATCAGCNGAAGCATTTCAACAATAATAAATTTGAAGTGGTAAATAAATCTCTTTCAATGTTTTTCAACAACTAAATGAACACTTAAATGATTTGATTACTTCACAACAACCTTTGAACACATCGTTATCAATCATTCAAAGCCGTTCATGAGTTTACCTCCTCCAACTGAAAATCTTACGAACGCCTGCGAATATTTGGTACATCTGCAAGCTGTCAAGTTCATGTAACCAACTATGGCAATTAGTACGATTATCACACAAAGTCGGTCTTGAAAAGCCATAAAACGTGCATTTTGCTGAGTGAAAATCTTTCATCCACGATCTGTTCAATTACAAACGTAACCTTTGCACATTCTCTGGCCATTAGATTGTTCTCTGAGATGTCATTATTCAAAGAACCATCTTCAATGCGACTGTTGACTTTTAATTGAAGACAGCTTTCATTATGGTTTAAGACAGACTAATTATACGCAAAATAATTGTATTTCTAATTGATGAACAAGCAATAAGTTGATTGATTACAGGCTCATGTTGATGCGATTCGTCAGCTACTGGATTCCTTCCCAATTCAGCCATCATGCGATCAGAGTGCGAGTGTTCACGATGCAAGTTTCTGTTCATTCACTCATCGCTCAATATGATTTTTTCATAGCATATTTTTTCTGCGCAATTACTACTACTCAGACAGAGTCTATGTTATTGAATCTGTTCATGAAATTAGTGACTGACATATTGAACATTCATTTAATGTGATCGAATGTTCAGATCAATTTGAGCAAAAAAGCGTCTTGATAAATGTCGATAGTGGTGCTGAAACAATGTCAAATACTTTGAATGGACGGGTGTCTTGAAATGAGTGTTGTTGTGAGTGGAAACATGAGGCCAAACATCAGCCCGAGCCTATGTTTTCCTTAGGCGAAGCTTAAACCTAAGCTTGATCAAATGCAAACCTTTTAGTTTTGGACACACTTAGACTAGCGCATGCAAATATCTATTGTTCAGGTTTGGTCAACTCCAAGGCAAAGTTTTGTTGTGGCCAGATTGGAATCAGACAGTGATGGCGATATGATAAACACTGATATCGAGGAACTGAGAGATGCGGCCGAGAGCATTCAATCGCTGCAAAGGGTGCTCAAGATGCCTCCCTCTGAAATTGGTGCCAAAAATGCCAGCAATGGTACTTACTAGTGTCTTTAAGCAACGATTTAAAGCTGGAAATATCAGCAGAAATAAGAATTCAGCCAGTTTCATTAGTGCTTATTAACAATACTTTCAAAAATGACTCATTATGAACGGCTAGTGACGAATCGAGATTTTGAATCTATCGGAACAGGATTTAGTCACGGTATTAATTCNATCAATCAAATCAAAAATTTGTGGGTCAATTTAAGAGGAAGAGTCGAACGATATAGATAAACGTCCGAGCGGAAGTGAATCAAGTTCGGATACGTTGAGACGACAGTCAGGCATAGCGTCATCGAGGACCGGTGGTCATCCTCGTGGCGTTATTCAATTTCTGCCTTCGGTTAAACAAACACAATTTGTTCCAACACTCGATTCGTATAACTGGAATAAAAGTCACTTGGAATCGGATTCCGAAAAGAAGCCAACTTCGTTGCTCAGACGTAAAATTTCGATGCCCGATTCTTATCTGGCGTATACTCAGGTGAGCAGAATACTCTCTTCAAATCACTTTCCTCCGATTTGCTTCTGTCAGTAAATTAGGACGAAATTTGAGAGTTCAATTAATGAGTGCCGTATCATAGTGCCATTTGATCTAGTGATGATAATATCTCGTCATTCGTCCACTTTTTCAATCAGTCTGAGCTATTCATCAATATTCTGTCTTGGAAACATGTTTTTTGCTAAATGAAACATTTGTTTTGATCTGTCACAAAATTAATCTTTCTGTGATGAATACATTTCAGAACATAAAATATTATAAAAAGTCCGCCAAAATAATTAATTTATGTTTTTCAGGTGTATGCTTCAGAACAAATGCCCGTTCGGTCGGTGAGTGGAAGGTTACTGGAACTTATTACTTGTTCAGATAGGAATTTTTTCGAAGTAAAGAAATTCAAGTGCGAAATGACGAAATTCATCACCAGCATATAAGCTTCCAAGCGTATAAGCTTCTGATCTGTTGTTGGGTTGTGAGAATGTGCTAAAAAATTTAAAAGCGAATTTAATGAACTATGAGTTCTGGATAAGTGATTGCTCAAACAATTTAATTTCATAGGAGTAATCGACGAATGATGCGAAATAGTGAGGAACCGGAATTATATACGAAAAAGGGAAAGGATTTATTGGAACAGTCCAAAGGTGGCGTTGACTCACTGGCTGGAGTCAGTCGATTCTCAAAACTTTTGCGATCACTCCGCTCATCGAGACAAAACTCACCTGAACCGCAGACATCAATGGATTGGTATTTCTTAAACATAAATTCATGAAGAAACAATTGGTTCAACCTAATGAAATTTTAATTCTGATCGTGAAAAAGTACAAAATAACAGTTAACTTTAATCGGGAATGCCCATTAATTATCAAAAGGCTTTGAAAAGAGCATATTTGCATTTGGAGTGGATATCTTCATATGTTATACTTGACTGCAAGAATCATTCACTTGACGATTCAGATAGAATCCAAGAACGAGTATAGTTTCTTGAGTCGAAGAATATTATTGGTCAGGTTGGTGAAACGATGCGAACGAAGGCATAAATTAGTAATACCTGGATTGGCCAGGCTATCAAACGCTTGTAACGTTGCTGGCCACAATGCTCCCGTTTCCGTGCACATTGTTTTAGCCTCAATTTACGCCACCCCGCTGGTGGCTAGGCGAGCAGGCCAAGTGAACGCAACCGAGTAATCAATTAGTTGCCGTGAATATTTAAATTAGTAATAATCTGTAATAACATACAGAAAAGGCATATCTCCGTAATAAGTTGTAATTGTGATTGTATGGAGAGAAAAGCAAAAAGTTTATGAATGAGGAAATGAGCATTATCATTTGAAGAGTCTTTCAGGACCCCGTTGATACTACCAGATACGTCACAACATCAACTACAACAATCGCTTTTACAAGCTGATCTCTTGTTGTGGAAGAAACGATCGCGTGCCTCGCTCCGACGCCATAACGAAATTCGTAATATGGCGATCCGTGAACTTCACGATACTGAGAAATCATTCGTCGAAGGACTCGAATATCTCATACAAGTAATTCTCATCATGAAAATTTTCCTATATAACTTCAAAAATATTGCTCATCAATATGTTTAGGAGAGCATTATAAGGGCTGAATCAAGCAATTACTCTTTTGCTTTGCTGATAAACATTTGAATTTCACATTTAAAAATTTGATAAACATTTGAAAGTTGATAAGTTAATGCTATTTTAACATCAGCACCATTGTCATCATCAGAAGCGATTGTATAAATTGATTTTCGTTGCGATGAAATTAACTTAGCATTGATAATTTTTCACAGTACCATTTGATACTCGCCTTTTGAAATTTGCTCGTGTGATTTGTTCGAATTCCAGAAATACATGCGACCACTGCGACAACCTCTCGAATGCACTCTAGTTGATGCTGGTTTAGCCGACAAGATATTTTATAAAATCCCCGAAATTTTGATTCATCATCAGGTGATTTGATTTTTTCATTTTCTTTAACTGATCATTACCTGTTCTATTTATTCATTTGAGTACCAGATGATAAATTATGTGGCAAAAATATCGAATATCGAATTATATCTGCATTAAATCCACCAAAAAGCCGAACAAAAAGTATCATTTTCAGCATTTTCTAGCGGCCCTTGGCGATCGACTCGACAACTTTCAATCTGACACACGCATTGGAGACGTTCTTCTTTCACACGTTAGTCATTTCTAGAATCTGCTGTCGAACGCATTCAATATTGCCTGAAACAAAATATTTTTATTCCTTTCTTCATAATATTTTAATCGACGACCAAGATACTTAGTGATATTTTAGATTAATAACCTAATAATATTTTTACTCAACCTGATTTTAGTTAACATAACACACTCAAAAGAATCTGAGTGGACCGCCTAGATATAGTGAAAAACGCGTTGAAAAATACTCGATAAGACTCCACTGATAGAAAATGCATCAGTCTGATGGTTCATTAAAATACCGTTTTGCTTTTCAGTTCAAAAAGCAGTCGATGATCGAAACTTATATAGCGTTTGTTGATAATTTCAAATTCGCTAAGCAGGCGATAATCGAAGCTCGAGGAAAACCGGCATTCGAAAAGTATTATATGGTAACTTTTGATCGCTATACCGAGAATCAAATTTGATACGGAGTATCTTAAGATTAATCATCAGTATTAATCAAATATAAGCCAACATTCGGCACGTGCCAATAGATACTGATTGGCTTAATGATTCACATAGTCAGACGTTATTTTCACGAAGGCTTCAGAGATTGTTTTGTGCTGATTTCTAATATGAATCGACCACTGTAAGTATAAGTGCAAATTGCTCTTCGCTATCGAATTCAGGATGAATTTTTTTCAGCGATGCTGCAGGGATCATCGTAATAAAATTGATCTGGACTCATTGTTGATATCACCGATACAAAGAGTACCAAGATACGAACTTGTTTTGAAGGTTACTTTCTTATACAATTGCGCTGATTCATTCGTACACCATCCGGCAATGTCTTCTCGGAAGAGCGTTTTTTTGCAGTAGAAAATTTCAACATAAACAATGAATCGATGATAAAATTTCAGCAAATAGTAAAACATACATCAGTGGAGCATGCCGATTATGAGAATTTGCTGATAGCGCAAAAATATGTGCATGATTTGGCAACGACGATCAATCGGCAGAAAGAGGAGAGCGAGGAGATGGAGCAGAGACTTCGTGAGATCGAAGCGATAGTCGACGGCCTCGATGATGTGCGTTTGTGTTCGCATCGTTCTTATCCCTAGGCTCTCTTGAGAATGCCAGAATTCGATTGATCGATCCACTTGATT